GAGAGGGACAAAATCCTCTTCCCCATTCTCTTTATCTCAACCCTCTTCTAACCAGGTAAAATAGATAAGTGTTATGCAAATCAACATGTGGGGTAGTTTTCAAAATTAGCAGATTCCTCTTGTAAACATCAATGAATGATTCAAAGCAGCCGTAGCCTAAATGTCTTTTCTTCTGGATCTATTGATGTCATTAGCGAAGGAGGTTAACCTGAACCTGAATAATCACACTAAACGTTCTGACTATATCTAAGACAAATTTATAGTAATAAGTCAGAATCTTCACTTACTTTTGCTACTGTATGATTTGAAACTGTCAATCTCTAAAACAAAATTATTAATCTTGTTGCGGCCAAACATAGGATGAATCAGGGTCTTGAGGCTGAAACCAAGTTTTTTTTGGCCTTTCCAATCTCATCCTGCTATGAATCCTGCTGTAAAGCTCAGTCAGTTGAGTGGGCTGCAGCCAGAGATGTTGCAATGTGTTCCTGGCTCACGTTAAATTAATGTAGCTGCACTTTCCTGCTCTGATCCGTGCAATCTTTTTTTCTACTACCAGCTGTGAATTTCATCCAAGAATCCAAGCTTAATTTCACCTGGAGGAAAATGCAGCGGCAGCAGCTGGTCAGTAATGCTCTGTTTGTGTGTTTGTGTGTGTGTGATTGAATGTGTGAGTGTGTGTGTGTGAGTATGTGTGTGTATGTGTGTGTGTGTGTGTGTGTGTGTCAGAGGAAGAAAAAGATACTTACGACTTCTGTGGTGCAGTTGGTGGTTTAGCAGCAGGCTTGTTAGCTGATACACTACATCGCTCTACAACACAAGAGAGGACATCCAAGCATCACTGTTGTGTGTGTGTGTGTGTGTGTGTGTGTGTGTGTGTGTGTGTGTGTATGTATGTATGTGTGCCTTGATTGGTGTTTGATAAGGAGCCAGACTCAAATCACTGATCACTGATCATAAAAATTCTTAGTAATACGATGTGTATTACTAAGTGTTTTCATGATCTCTGTGAATACACATGTGCATTTACAACCAACATGCATTTGGAAAAATAACAACTAGATGGAATATTCACACATTTGTGGGACATAAAGGTCACTGACAAA